CAAAGTATGGTGGGATGCGTACAAGAAGATAGGTTTTTCTATCAACTCGTATAAGGATTCATTTCTTAAAAACAGAATAAACATGGACAAGATTAAATATTTTTTAAAGAGGGTTAAATTTCTTGGGCATATCATATTTTGTGGGTAGCTGAAGATATTAACCCCTTTATGAATTATATTAACGATATTATCCACAGTATTAACGTTATATATATATATATATATATATATATATATATATATATATATATATATGTGTATTATGTTAATGATATTATTAACATAACAAAACAGTACTGGCATTAGAGATGTATATATATATATATATATATATAGAGAGAGAGAGAGAGTGAGAGTGTGTGTGTGTAGATAGATAGATAGATAGATAGATAGATAGATAGATAGATAGATAGATATTTTTTTTTAAAAACTATTATGTAAATTTTTGTAACTTTGTATAATATTTATACATTACACCCTAATCTTTATTCGGTAAAAATTGCATTGTTAATCATGCATTACCTTTTAAGTAATACACATATTTATGTCTTTGTTGTTTCCGTTCCTTATATTATGGCCGCTACTGTAGATAAATATGAACATATTGACATACATAGATAGGTAGATAGATAGATAGATAGATAGATAGATATGAACAGATTGACATAGATAGATAGTTATGAACAGATTGACATAGATAGATAGTTATGAACAGATCTGGTCTGAGCAAAACACATGGATAGATAGATAGATAATTAACAGCTTGAGATAGATAGATATGAACAGATTGACATAGATAGATAGATATGAACAAATTGACATAGATATGAACAGATAGATATGAACAAGTTGACATAGATAGATAGATGCATAAATACATATTGTTGGTTGGTTGTTTTTGTCTAACAACGTGTATTAACCTCAATGAGATATTCAATGCCGAAATCTAAATATTTTGCGCGCGAAATCGGTTTTCCGATTAACAATTCCGATCTAATATCCATCACACCACCTCCTCCAAATAGAATTCCCCAGCGGTCACCCATCTAGGTACTGACCAGGCTTCAAGATGCTTAACTTCGGGAACGTGATGTAGTCTTAAGCCCGTAGATATTGTGTATAGATAGGTAGATAGTGTATATAAATAGATAAGTGAATATTACGTATAAATAGATAATAATCTCTTCATATTGAGATAAATGAAGATAAAAATATATATGTGCACATATATATAGATAGATAGATAGATAAGAAAGGAATGAAACTCTAAAATTATTATCAAATATATGAGAATGTTTGTCTATATAGGTATTATGTACAGTATTTACATTAGTCGGACTATTGTCCTCATCTTTGTCGCCATATTTGTCACAACGTTTCGGCCGTTGTACGCTCCGGCCTTCTTCTGGTTGGAATTTCGAACTGAACCCTTTATTTCGATCACTGGGGTAGACAGCTCTAATTCCACGTGCCATGTTTGATGGATGTCAGTTATCTCCTGCTAATTTTCCCTCTGAAAGTTCTCCACTGCCTTAACCAGGAATTGAACTCACCTTCTTTGGGTCTGTCACTGGATCTAACCAACGCCTTTATCCACTGTGCCATGTGTCCTGGCACTCCTTATTACTGGTTCCCATATTGTATTTATTTCTATGCTTGGTCGGCTCAGGAGATTTTTGTGGCCTAGCATTATCATCACGGGTGAGACCCCCCATAGAGAGGAACATGACTAAAGACTGTGTGTACGCTATCCCATGCAGCTGCGGAAAGGAATATAAAGGAGAGACAGGCCGCCCCCTCAAGGTAAGGCTTCAAGAACACCAGAAAGCTGTAATGCGAGGGGAAGTAGAAAAATCAGGCGTGGCTGACCACATATGGAGAGAGAAGGGAGATCACCGCCCCCTGTGGGATCATGTTGAGATCATAGACAGGGAACACCATTGGAAAATTCGTAAACTTAAGGAATCAGCACATATGCTAGGCCACAAAAATCTCCTGAGCCGACCAAGCATAGAAATAAATACACTATGGGAACCAGTAATAAGGAGTGCCAGAGAAAAGCAATGATAACAAAGTTGCAATATGAACTCTGGTAAAGATATGCAATGATAACAGCAAAAATTGCAATATGAGCACTGGTAAAAATGATGCTGAAAACATTAGGTTTATAATACTCAGAAGTTCATACCCAGATGTCCTCAAGGACACATGGCACAGTGGATAAAGGTTAAATCCAGTGACAGACCCAAAGAAGGTGAGTTCAATTCCTGGTTAAGGCAGTGGAGAACTTTCAGGGGGAAAATTAGCAGGAGATAACTGATAACTGACAACCATCAAACATGGCACGTGGAATTAGAACAGTCTACCCCAGTGATCGAAATAAAGGGTTCAGTTCGAAATTCCAACCACCTGAAGAAGGCCGGAGCGTACAACGGCCGAAACGTTGTGACAAATATGGCGACAAAGATGAGGACAATAGTCCGACTAATGTAAATACTGTATATGTTTAAAATATTTGGAAGATAAATACAGTGTAACCCGGATGTAAGAGACCCGGATATAAGAGAAACCCGGATATAAGAGAGATTTTCTCTGGTCCCAAATTAGAACCTGTGTTAATGTATATAAAATAGACCAAACCCGGATATAAGAGACTTCTTCTCCGGTCCCGACAACTCTCTTATATCCGGGTTACACTGTAACAGAAAAAATTGGCAATTCTGAACCAATAATAAAGGACTTAAACACAAAAAACGTTACGACGCTAAGCGCTTTTCCAAAACACTTGAAAATACCTCCTCGTCCATAAAAGATGTTATCTTACAATCAATAATTAAGAATAGGATATAGGAATAAAATTGTAGATAAATGATGTCTTTATTATCGTTTAAAATATATATAATAATTCTTAACGTGGTACATTTGATAATGAACTGTTCACTCTGGCATCCAATTATATATATTATTATTACAGTTTATTTATAGGGGGATAAACTACTAAATGAAATGGAGAGATAATTAAGACGTTAAGTAATAAATAAATTTTATTTATTTCAGACAAAAAATGCCTTGTATAACATAAAAAGGAACAACATGGAACGATAAATGGAAAATATCTGCAGTTCTTTTTTATATTTTCACTGTATAAAGTCAGAGAAATTTACGAAAAGAAAAAAATCAGCGAACGGCACACTCATATCTACCCAATCTGAGTGGTTGACAACTCACATTTAGCGGGCTCGGGTCGCCCAGCCAGAGTGAGTGAGGTAGTAGTGAGTGGCTTCGGGCCGATCTTGACACCTGTTGCCACGTCATACCTAAGTGGTGTCGGTCAAGTAGGTAAGCTTTTGTTTTCAGATGTTTGCATATGGAATTGCCAACCAGTATATATTAAGGCAGGTTAGGGCACCTCGAAGTGGTGTAATGGTTAGCAAGCTTGTCTCGCTAGAACAAGTACGACTGACTAGTGAGTTCGATCCTCACTGGGTGCACCATATATTCGGTCTTGTGCCACATCTAAGCTGCGCCTGGAAATTCACTATATTAAGAGTAAGACAGATTGATTTTTCACTTTTTCTCGAAAAATCAACATTGCACTCGATATGAAAGTTGCTGTTTGATGCGATAAGTACTGTATTTCTGTAAGTTTTTTGCTTACAAACTGACTTCAAAATGTTATTATTTCAAGAATAAATCCAAATAAAATTGATATTTGTAGCAGATACATTAAATGGGGAATATATTCAAACCAGAATTCTAATTACCCGTCACCACGCAAAAATATGCATTTTTTACTGCATTCGATAAATAAAACCTGAGTGAAAAAAAAGTTGTGAAAAAAAATTGTAAAAGATTACAAAAATGGCTACAAAATAAGATGTGTCGGATTATTTATTAGATTAGCATACTTATTATAAAACCCAGGTTGTGTGTGTGTCTGTTCGTTTATATATTGGATCGGATTTCCTACATTTTTCAACCGATTTCAACAAAACTTCACAGGACTACGTAAAATTACCTTGCGGTGGTTCTAACAGCGCCATAAAACGGAAAAACACAATTGTTTTTGGACAAAATCAATTTGAAAACACGATTAAGAGGCATCGCTATCGCGTGAATGAAAGAGGTACAACTCATATCGGGTTATACTTATTATAAAACCCAGGTTGTTTGTATGAGTGTGTTCGTTTATATATGGGATCGGATTTCCTACATTTTCAACCGATTTCAACAAAACTTCACTTTTTTTTGGCAGGTAGTGTTTCTTATTGTTTTTGCACACTTTTTCTTTATTTTTTACATTCAGAATGCTTTTAAAATTCCATTTACAAGACAATTGTTTATAATAAAATTCTATTCAATCGGTAGACTCATAACGATTGAAAACAATGTTTTTGCTTGAGTTTGACCAATTCGTAAAAAAAAAAAAAAAAAACCTAATTAAGACATGCGTGTCCGTCAACCTTAAACAATAATCTTTGTCAATTTTATTTTTCAGTTTTGATCTATCTCTTACTGTTACATCCCCGGGCAACGCCGGGCTCTACTGCTAGTAATTAATAAAAACAAAAAATAGATAAAAGTGTATATAACACCATAATATAGCTGGGAACAAATTATAAAACATAATGTGTTTAAATTTGCTTTGTTTATTGAAAATCCCACTAAAACTACTGCACTGTATAACACATTACATCCTAATATAGCTAAATTGTTCAGTATAATTTCCCCTTTGAAGTAAATGAAGGTTTTATTTGATGTCACAATGATAATAGTAATGTGCATAGTAATAATATGCTTGTACAATACATCTTGTCGATATACAATTTGTAAAGCTTCAGTAAATTATAAATTTTATAAGGCTGTGATATAAGGCTTTTATTGATCACCGGAATTAAATTCAAATGCTACAATTTTGGACCTAAACTTAATCCTTTGCAGAGGACCGTGTGGATTTGCGAGTTGTTAAATTAGGAACACGTGCGTTTATTCCTGCTAGAAGATGGTCCAACTACAAGAACATGTCGGACTCAAGTTGAGTCCAACCGAAGATGTAAAGAAAACCAACAAGACCGATATATATATATGTCAACAAATATATGTATTAAACAACAAAATTTACAAGTGACAAAGACATTAACATTTGTGTTTGTGTGTGAACGTAAAGAGTTTGTATTTTGGTGAAATGTTTGTACGTACGTGTATGTGTATTTAATGGCGTTTTCCCATAAGTGGGCAAAAACGCTGTTCTACGTGAGAGATTACATTTTTAAATAAGTCCGCTGAAATGCAAAGTAGAAAAGAGAATGAGGTAAGAAGTTGCCCAGTATTTATAGTGTAGGGAGAGCGACTCCTAGTGAACAATTAGAGAATTAAGGAGGCGGTAACTCGACACTTTAAACTCGTCTCCTAAAAACGGTAACAATTCTGACAAATCTGTCGTTACTTATCATGTCAAAACCAAACTTTAATATTAAGTGCAATACCATAGTTACAAAATCGACCTGCCCTAGTATATATACTCTCGACTCTCCCGTCGAATTCGACGTATGAGGGTCAAGCAGATCAGTTCCTAGGAAACCGACAACCCGACAACAGCACATGAGATTTGATTATAGTTGTGAAGGTTTCCTTCTCCTAGACAAGTTGTCATCCAAGGCTATAGAACACAGTCTGTCCTGCTTTTTGCCCATAGCTGGAGGGAGAAGAAGAGGATTCACACCTTTCCCAATGGTATTAGCACGAAAGTGAATGTGTTTGACTGTAATACGAGCTCGGCTCTCCGATTCCTCAATCCAAGCCGCTATCCATTACTCTACCGTGTCTCCAAGTGTGTGTGTGTGTGTGTGTGTGTGTGTGTGTGTGTGTGTGTGTGTGTGTGTGTGTATACATATATATATATGTGTGTGTGTGTGTGTGTGTGTGTGTGTGTGTCTGTCTGTGTGTGTGTCTGTGTGTGTGTGAAAATATATAGAAAATAGGAAAGAACTCGTTAGGTAAATAATCCAAAGTTCTTTAGTATTTTTTTATTATTTAAAAAAAAAACAGTGCTCGATACAAAAGTATAGTTTAAATATAATTATTTATTTTAAAATATGATTCTTATGTAGCGATGGAATCATATTTTAAATAAATAATTATATATATATATATATATATATATATATATATAAAAAGTGAACATAGAAGTCAACACTTAGAGGCGACAGTCTGTTTCATGCTATATGCAATCGTCAGGCCACATATGTCACATAGAGCATATGTGGCCTGACGATTGCATATAGCATGAAACAGACTGTCGCCTCTAAGTGTTGACTTCTATGTTCACTTTTATATTTACACACGCTCTATCTCTCTGATATTGAGCACTTTATTCCATAAATATAGCACACCTTAAGACTATATTTCTTTATATATATATATATATATATATATATATATATATATATACTAGGAAGCACGGTAGAGTAATGGATAGCGGCTTGGATTGAGGAATATATATATATATATATATATATATATATATATATATATATATATATATATCTACCTTCCATCAGCATGACTGATGCTAACCTCCTGGAAAGTGACGCGTTGCACCTCCCCCCGGTCTAACGTTCTCAGTTGATAGGTCAACTACTAAGAATGTTGGTTCACGGTGTTGTGCAAGACATTTTTTCTCTCTAGAATCTATTTTACATATCTGTACGTCTACCATTCGTCCATGCTTTGAATATCGCTGTGACATATGGTCCAGTGCTCCTCCTATTTACCTTCAGCTCCTGGATAAAATCCAAAGAAGAATCAGCAATATTATAGGTCCTGATCTAGAGGCTCGGCTTCAGTCACTTTTCCACCGCCGTAAGGTTGCCTCTCTGTGTCTTTTCTCTAAATACTTTCATAGCGATTGTCCAGATGAGCTCTTCGCTATGGTACATAGCCTTTTTTAATTTAGCCGCAGTACTGGACTGGCATCGAGATCTCATCGATTTATCGTTGAGCTGGAAATATGTAAAGGTAAATTCTATGCTAACAGTTTCTTTCCTCGCACTTCTCGCTTGTGGAACTCCCTTCCGGCTCCATGCTTTCCGGCCAACTTTAATTTTCAAAAATTTAAAAGCAATGTCAATCCCTATGTACTGTCCTCATGATTACTCTTTTCTCTTTTCATTCATTATTAATGTTTCTGTTCCTAATTCTACCACATACTGCAACCCGTTGTGTTTTAGTGGCTTTTCTATCTTCCATGGGGTGGGGCTGATATATATATATATATATATATATATATATATATATATATATATATATATATTACAATAAACGTGCAATCAATTTACAAATACATGAATTATTCACACAAAACTAATGCAAAGGTTAATGATTTAAATGGCGAGACATCCATCATCGCAAACAATTCAAATAGTATACAAAAACCTCCAGATCCGTTATGAATGAATTGATCCTTGTTTATATAAATTTCTGCCGTATTAGTTGTTATTTTTCTACAAGCTTTCGTCTGTTCCTACAGACATCTTCAGGTATAGAATAGATGTTGTTCTTGTTTTTTTCTCTTAGTAATAAGAGGACAACGAAAATATATGTGTTGTTGTATCCGAAAATGCTATTGAAAAAGAGTTATTGGTTTTGGAACGCGCCAAAGCAACGCTGAGTTTGATTTAAAATTTTTAAAGTGTTTGCGTTTATACCAAATATGGTGATGAACAAATTTTTTACTGGTAAATTTTTCTGTCAAAGTGGCATGAACTATATATATATATATATATTTAAATCATTAACCTTTGCATTAGTTTTGTGTGAATAATTCATGTATATATATATATATATATATATATATATATTACTAAAATCGACGAGAACATCTAAGAAAGGAAGTTTTTTTTCACTAAGTCCATAAGTAAAATTTAGGACGGAATTTTGTTAAAATGTAGCTTCCAAATTTTCTTTCTTTTTTCAACTAAAATAAATATATCATCTACATAACGAACATATATTTTAGGTTTAATAACTTTAATACAGGTGCTTTTATATATACTGGCCCATATATATAAATAGCCGAGGAAAGATGTAGCATTCGCGGCCTGATGATTGCGTCCAGCATGAAACATTCTATCGCTTCTGAGTTGAATTCAATCCTCACTTTCATATATATATATATATATATATATATATATAACCCAACAAACGTGAGCTAAGAATTAGAAACGTAAGCCTCAAGAAAGTACAGAAACGGAGGTTTTATAAAAGAGAAATGTAACTATGCCATAAAAATCTGAAGTAGTATCTGAATAGAGAAAAAGGTTTCCTAAAAGCTAAGCGATGTATTAAGAAACAGGAAAATTTCATGAGTAACAAACGAAAAACAGTAGTGAACTGCTATGTGATATCAGTCCTCGTATATGTCTGAATGTTGTTTTTTTTTAAGTGATTCACCCCAAGCAAGGCGGGAAGCCACTAGGACGCAAGGGGTTACAGAAGATTTAGAGCAAGATCAGATAGGAGTGACAGAGGAAAGGATGAGGAGAAGGACAGTGGATAGATCAAGGCAACTGGAGATGTCGATTGGCATTACATTTGAATAGTTGGAGATTATAGTTCCACAGGCGAGAGGTGAGAGACATGAAGCTATTAGAATAGAAGAGACGGCTACATTTAATAGTTTCGACAGTGAAAGGGTGAGAGTGGGATGCCAGCCTCGTAGGGCGCTTGAATTCATGAAGTCTGGGAACCAGAGATGAACTACATGTCGTTCTACAGAAGGATACTGGTCATAACTGGTACGGAATACAATGGTGGAATTTTAAGCAAATTGATTGGAACTTCTGGAACATAATGAGGAAATAGGGCTTAGAGAATTTGCCACTCACAGGACATATTGAAGGCAAACAGGGTCACAGGGAAACAATGAAGGATTGTAAAGAGACAAACAAAAATTGCTTAGAGTTTCAAAAGATAGGAATTTGTGGTGATTTATCATCGTTCACGTCCTGAAGGATCACGGTACATAAAAGAATATATATATATACAGTAACGAGCAAAGGTTTGGTGATGTTTGATGATACCCGGGTCCAACTTCTTAATTGTATGCCCCTGAAAGATGCGAGAAAGGAAGACATTTTAAATATGTAAAAAAAAACATGAAACATGAAATAAATACTTGATTCAAATTAATTCAAAGAACAATGTTCGCTATAAAACAGTGGCCACTGCCCGCAAAAAAAGACAGAGACGAAGAGGGTTCACGGAGAACGTCCTGACAGGGAAGACGCCCGTTAGTTTGTTCATCTCGTCCCTCACCTACGTCACATCTCAGCTTCATTCGTTTATAGCAGTAGGTTATACAACCCAAGAATAAAATCTGCATACTGCTACAAATTCTGATGGCCTTAATTTGTGGGTGAGGATCTGTCCGAAGGGTTATGTCACTTTCTGAGCGACGGTTCGGTTTAACTCTCTGCTTTCGGGCGGGAGGAACCCGAAGGAGGCTACGCCGAAGGGCGGAGTCTCCTTCGGGGAGGTAAAACCGGCCCTGAACCCGTTTATACGGGTTCAAATGGGCTATTTTTTGGCCGAGCCTAATGGCTAGGAAATGCCCACGTTAAAAAGGCCTTGTGCCACATGACGCCCTCGTGGGGGGGACGACTAAATATAGTCCGGAGGGTTATTTTTAAACCACAAACGTTTGACAGGAAGAAGCTGCACTCTACGAACAAAACTGTTGTCTGGTCTTAGCAAAACACATAGATAGATAGATAGATAGATAGATAGATAGATAGATAGATAGATAACAGCTTGAGATAGATAGATAGATAGATAGATAGATAGATAGATAGATGGATAGATAGATGATAGATAACAACTTGAATAGATAGATGATAGATGAATAGATAGATAGATAATAGATAACCAGTGAATTAGAATTAGATGGAGATAGATAGATAGATAGATAATGAACAGCTTGAGATAGATAGATAGATAGATAGATAGATAGATAGATGATAGATAGATAGATAGATATGAACAACCAGTGATAGCTAACTGGCGAATTAGATAGATAGATAGATAGATAGATAGATGGATAGATGGATGAATGAATAACAGATTGAGATAGATAGATAGATAGATAGATAGATAGATAGATAGATAGATAGATAGATAACAGCTTGAGATAGATAGATAGATAGATAGATAGATAGATAGATAGATAGATATGAACAACCAGTGATAGCTAACTAGCGAATTAGATAGATAGATAGATAGATAGATAGATAATGAACAGCTTGAGATAGATAGATAGATAGATAGATAGATAGATAGATAGATAGATAGATAGATAGATATGAACAACCAGTGATAGCTAACTAGCGAATTAGATAGATAGATAGATAGATAGATAGATAGATAGATAGATAGATAGATAGATAGATAGATAGGTGAAAACTACACTGTGTGACGTGGCCAAACCATGACATCTTCCAATGGTTAATAGTGGTGGGGAGAGATTCCTGATGGCCCACGAGACATTCCGCGCCAATACAAGGTCCAAATTCAAAAAGAAATAAATAAGCATTAAAAAAAAGTCATGAAATCTTTACCGATCACGTATTTTTATAACGTTTAATTTTCTCGACAGAAAGAAAACGAACGTAAAACACATTTACTGGAAAGTATAAAAAATACAACCAAAAAAGAAAGAAAGAAAGAAAGAGAGAGAGAGAGAGAGAGAATTAATTGCGAACAAGATAAAATGGTTGTGTCTATTGTTCTAGTCTCTCCCTGCCGAATGATGGCCGCTAATCTACTTTCTTTGCTACGGTGATTTAGATATCGTTTTATTACTCTCCGTTCAATAATGGTCTTAATGTAACCCCTATAGGCTCCCATACATCACTGCCTGGTCGGTTAATGAGACATTCGTACTGGCATTTAACAAATTAGTTAAATGTAAGTATATGGGATTCAAAGTATTAGAGAGAAGGCGATGTAAGAAAGAAAGAAAGAAAGAAAGAAAGAAAGAAAGAAAGAAAGAAAGAAAGAAAGAGTATCAGGGAGGTACGGAGAAAGAAAGAAAGAAAGAAAGAAAGAAAGAAAGAAAGAAAGAAAGAAAGAAAGAAAGAAAGAAAGAAAGAACAGAGGAATTGGGGATAAAAAAGAAAGACAAGATGTATGAGAAAGAAAGAAAGAAAGAAAGAAAGAAAGAAAGAAAGAAAGAAAGAAAGAAAGAAAGAAAGAAAGAGTATCAGGGAGGTATTGAGAACGAAAGAAAGAAAGAAAGAAAGAAAGAAAGAAAGAAAGAAAGAAAGAAAGAAAGAAAGAACAGAGGAATTGGGGATAAAAAAGAAAGAAAAGATGTATGAGATTGAAAGAAAGAAAGAAAGAAAGAAAGAAAGAAAGAAAGAAAGAAAGAAAGAAAGAAAGAAAGAAAGTTGAATGTTAAAAAAGAAAGACGCATGTGTATATTATAAAGCAACACACACAGGTGGATAGATACATGGATTCTTTTATTCCATACATACACACGCTCACACACTCACCTACACGCATACACACATATATATATATATATATATATATATATATATATATATATATATATATATATATATATATATAAAATATCGCACATTGAGTGTTGGCGTTAATAAAATAGTGCTCGGTGTAGAATAATAGCTATAATAATAATAATATGTTATATATTATTAATAAATATAAATTTTCCTCACCAGTAGTACAACTCTGTTATGCACAACGCAATCTTCAGATACATATGTATACGGAAGCTTTCAATCGGCTACCGGTAAATGAAGGTAGACTACAGTATACGATAACCTGTGCCAAAATTACATAAGGTCACACCACTTGCCTGTATATTGAGACATTAACCATAATATCGTCCTATATGCGTTGTATAGCAAACAACCTACAACACACGCCGGTATACTGTATCGGTATAACTTGAAGAACATTTAAAATTCATGTCTACTGATAAACAGATTAAAGTCAACATCAACTGCTATAAAATATTAATACCGTAGATTACACATTATAGCAGGTAGTTTTTTTTGTTTTGTTTTTTTAGGGTTTTTTTATAGTACTTCTACGTATTGTATGTAATTGTCTAAATGGCTGCATGTGGTAAACGGCGTTTCGGTCGATGTTTACACTTAGTGAATCAGCTGTTGGATGCGATGTGTAATATACGTTGTGGTAAACCCTCCTACAGTAGAATGAACTCTTCCTCCTCTCATAAATACGAACTTAAAAAGTCGGTTGGGAAGCGGAGACGCAGTGTTAACCTACCGTTCGGACGTACACCTCTATCTGCTTATTACTAACACTCTTGCTTTGTATATATATCTGTTATTTTAATACACTTGCTCAACCTAGCTTCTTCTTCTGTGTCTTTCTTTCTGGCCTCTAAACAGGTCACAACAACTTAATACTGAATTTGAGGTACTTTTTTATTATTTTGTATTAATTTATGTCTTAATGTCTCAAATATGTACACCAAACACAGGTTTTAGTGGAATATATCCGTGACAGCCTGCTGGGGGTACGCTATGTGGTGTAGAGTAATTGTTAGGAGTGCTGTCCCACTTGTTTACAACTACTCAGTGCTAAAGGTTTGCATTTTATACCCGCCATAAAAGTCGACCGTTAGTTTTGAAAAGATTTTTTAGGCTTGAAGACTGGACTTGTACGCCGCAATTTACTGTATATAAGATATTATATACAGGATTTGAATCATATTTATGTAACGTGGGGGAGCTAGAGAAGAAAGATTTATTTTTCGTTCACCACCCCCCATTATGGGCATTATTATAGCCATGATATAATAACACCGATATTTCACGTACGGAACGGAATGACTGAAAGAAAAAGGAATGAAAAACATGCCTTCTCCTCAGAGAGACTTTTATAATACTGAGACATACACAAAACTATATGTTAATATATACAAGAGTCCCACTCAGAGAATCGTATATCGCATATATGTACACAGCAAAGAAAAGTGTAAGAAGAAACAAAAAGGAAGGGACTTGCATATAAAATGAAGGAGCCATGTTTACGACTGCAGATTCGAACGGACCGGATTCAGCTATGTCCCAGACGAGAACATATTCCAAGAACGGGAAACGGCGAGTCTTCGGTTTTCTTAAATTGGGGACTACGAGCTGGGGTTCTATTCTATATCTGGGAAAGATATATTCCCAAGGGAAACGCCATCATGTACTTCAAAACTTCCGAGAGATTTATACTCAGCCTGAGCTTCTTGGCCCAGGTTGAAAGAAAGCAACCTCACGTGATTGCTGCTGTAAAACAAACTTAATTTGACTGCCGTTTTCGTCAATGTATATAGTGACATCATCAAACGGTCGTTACGTGATCCACGTGACTTATCTCAACGAAAGGGAGACAATCGCCTTTTTTTCACTACACGTATTTTTGTTTTTATTCTAAAGGCTCTGAGAGAAAATGCTATTGTTATACTGGTCCGGTAACAGTGAATGAAACGTAGAGTAAAGAGTTCGGTGCATTTAGCGCTCGGTACAGGAACAACAACAATACGAGAAATAAATGCAATAATAGATAGATAGATAGATAGATAGATAGATAGATAGATAGATAGATAGATAGATATAAACAGACTAAGATAGATAGATAATAGCTGGCCATTCGTATTCGAGGATACCCGTCTATTAGGGCTGTTAGAAAATCCTTATTGCAGACGCTCACTCTGGCACATTTGTGTTTCTTCAACACCCACAGAGCCCACCTGTGGTTTATACTGCAACTATGCTGTGAAGACCTTAGTTACAGTTTCTGGCATATTATCTAGCGTGATCAACAATCTGAACAAGGCCAGCACACTCAAGCCCTCGGCCACGACGACTTGTGACTTCGTGCTAGCACAGCTATCGACGGTCTCCCAAGTGTTCCGTCTACCCAATTCCATTCACAAGCTTGGGTCAACCCGTGCTATGGTTTTCAGCACTTTCCGAAGGTGCCGCACCCTGGGATCGCCCCCCTCCAAACTGATAACATAAGGAAGTCTGCTTCGTGACAAATCAACTGTAGTGAGATTCGAACCCGGATCTCATGGCCAGAAATCGAACATTCTAACCAAATGCATACATGCATGCAAATAAATAGTCAGAGATAGATAGATAGATAGATATGAACGGACAGAGATAGATAGATAGATAGATAGATAGATAGATAGATAGATAGATATGAACGTACATAGATAGATAGATAGATAGATAGATAGATAGATAGATAGATAGATAGATATGAACGGACATAGATAGATAGATAGATAGATAGATAGATAGATAGATAGATATGAACACGCGTAGATAGATAGATAGATAGATAGATAGATAGATAGATAGATAGAAACAGACTCTTCTGTAGAAGTGTCCGTTTTATTTTCATTTCCCTTAAAACTTCCACGTTACTCACATGGTATTCTTAACACCAGAAAGTTGTCTTTTTATTATCTCAGGTCTCTTCTTCCGTCCAAGACATAAATAGCGATTTGCGAACAATGGTATCATGAAGATCGTTGATAAAAATGATGAAAAACGTATGTCCAAGGATAGAGCCCTAGGCTCTAGAAGAGTGGCCGTTCATCACAACTTTCATTTCGCGACTTGGTAAAAAAGACCGAATCAGTTCCAAAATTCGACCAGAAACACCCTAACCTTTCAACTTAGCAAGATGGCCAACATGCCAAAACGGATTAGTGTTGTCATTATCAACATCATATGTCGATCCGGCTGACCTCACATTAATTCAAAACTGAACCCTTTATTTAAGTTACGCGGGTAGACTGTTCTTTCATTTACTGTCATATAGTAAAACTGATATTATATATCAGTTCAGCATTCATGTCTTCGTTCCTGAAGACGTTTTCCTATCCCTTACTTAATACATTGCTTAGTTTCAGTAGAACAGTTTCAGATATCCTGATACGTCTTCGGATTTCATCAGTCTCTTTCTGATTCTAAATATACGTTTTTCGCTCCCATTTTCCTTAAAACGTTCTTACTGCTCGCATGTTCTGTCCATAGTATTCTCAGTATTCCTCAATGAAAGCACATCTCTGTTGTGTCAAGTGATCTTTTTTTCATCTGTTAGGAAATTGTCCTGCTTTCTATGTCATATGGGAGGACTGATATTACATAGAATATTCAGCACTCTTTCCTTTGTTTCTTATGAATTTTTCCCATTCTAAAAGGCAAAAATATTTTTAGCCTTTTCGAAGACATCTTTCGCTATCCGAATACGCTTTCAGTGCCACATTTTCCAACTCCTGTTGAAACGCTTCCCATATTTTTCAATCCCTGTACTTGTTTGATTTAGGCATCTCCAGTTCGTAGCTCGCATCTTGAGTTGTCTCTATTGCTGGGAACCATATATCCTGTCTTTTTACAGCTGATAGTTAGTCCTTTCTTCTCGCTTTCCTTTAGTTTCCTTTTTGTGTCTGTCAGCAACACGGTGCCATCAGCATATCTCTATAAAAGGCAGGATGTGTGTGTGAGTGTAATGAATGCACGGCCGCAATTTTCGACGGATTTGCACCAAAATTTACATGCACATGCTCCAAGTTAGCGAGAAGGCCAAGACCGACTTTGCATTTCCCAACTCCCATCGATAGTTGAAATAATCGATTTTTTCATGCTTCTACGGCACTTTTCATGTAGTTTACGGCCATTTTATACTGGCCAGAGTGGCAGCCTATAGCTGGCTGCCACGAATAGGCAGGAAGATTCTATTGGCCAGCGTGAGAGCCAACAGCTGACTGACACGAATTTTAACTAGCATGCAAAAAAATCGATAGCTGCATTCGCCAAAAGTGGGAAAAATTTAAATCTGCATGGCACTTTACTCCAATTGGCTCATTCGCTTGCTTAACGTTGATTCTGATTCCGCAGAACTGGGTTGGGTTAGAAAAAGTATTTGTTGTTAACATTCTTTTTTCATTTGGTTTTTCCAGTTACGAGTCCTTTTTTAAAGCTGATCGTTTTGTGTTCATTTTGTTTAGTTCTTTTTTCATAACAGATTTAATGTTTAGTATAGAGCTTAGAAAAAATTGTAGTGTGAGATAGGCAAGAAGTAAGGCATGTAGCAACATCAGCACGGCAAAGGGCACTCCTTTAAAGGCAAGGAAGGGCAAAAATATTTTAAGTCAAGTGATAGCGATTGCTGTATGAGTCGTACGATTTTTGAATCAAGCACGAGCAACACCGGGCCATGCTGCTAGTTATACTTAAGTAGACTGTTCTATATTTCTGTCATGTCAGTATGAAAAATTCAGTTTTTGTCGCTGGTATTTTATAGATTGATAGGATCATTTTTTAATCATTTCACTCTTATCCTTTTTGTTTCTGGTTTCCTTAAAACTTCCATATTACTCGCATGCTAGATCCGAGGTATTCTCTGTAT